TTGTAAAAGCTCAATGGCATGCTTGTGTGAACAAGGAGTTGGTCTCTGACGGCTTCCTTCATGGGTGCATGCAACTGGAATGACGGCAGGTACTGTAGGAGGGCGAGCCTGCAGTAGTACATGCTCGACGCAAGTGTGTGCTTTTCGATCACGCAGCGAAGCGAACCCCAACGACACTCACACGAAAACAGATGGGTCCCATCCTCTTCCGCCTGTAGAATCCGATATTTAGACAACGTTGACCTACAGTAGACCGTAAGGGCCAAGAAGCTGAGCTCAACCACCGGTATACGCCTGTGGGCTCTACTCACGCCGTAGATGGACGTGCGTCCAACAATACCGGGCAGAGAATACACAAAGAGTACGCACCGGGCGTAATCCAGCTCAATCCCCCCTCGCGGGCGTCAGCATGGAGGCGAGCAGCGACACAGCACTCCGATGAGGCGTGAGGATGATCGCAGAAGGCGGCCGCACGACGAGGCTTAGGCGTGAGGTACGGTGTTGAGGAACGACACGGTCTTTTAGGTTTGAAAGGTGGGTGGTACTGCTGTGTCGAATGATTGCGGGTCATGCCAGAGAGGGATAGAGAAGAGGGGCTCCGCTCTCACAGTATCGTTGTATCGTTATCGATAACATCGTTCGGAACATCTCACCAAACGCTGTGTTTTCTGGCCAACACAATTACTACCTCATGGCACTGGATCACGCTTACGTTCCCCTCTTGACGCACCGCCGCCTACAGATATTCAGTACCGGTAGGAATGGACTCACCTCCTCCTCGTTCTGTTTTTTCTCGTAGCCTGGCTTCACCCAAAATCCTCAATGGGTCCCGCTGTGAGCAACAGAAGAAGGCAAAGCGTCAGTACCCGAGATACCCGCCAGCACCAAGGCACCCGAGAGAGAGAATACTTCCGGTACGATGTGTGCATGTGTGTACGCACATGGCAAAGAGAACGATGGCCAAGACACATACCGTATACCTGGCGAACCACTCACTGCCGCCGCTTGCGAGATCAGATTTCCCCATGGCATGTTCGGGCTGCACAGCGGTGATATCAGTGAAAGATATACGAGACACATTTCGACAACCGTCAATAACATACCTTCCGAGAACCATTGGAGAACCAACATGAAACTGTTATGGCCAAATCCACGACCCTGCATCCCGAAGTGAAAGTTACAAGAAGGCCTTAGTCATGAAATTTTCCTCGAAAAATAGGAAAGTTTGTTCGTCGAACAGAACGGAAGCTAACGTGTGAAGAGAAGGAAGGACAGTAGTGGCCGACCAACGTACAGCAAAATCGTGTGAACACTGCCGCGAGCACCGTGGTGAACTGCGACCAGCACCTCCGGGTTCGCTAGATTCATCAACGACGATCTGACAGCGTTCACCTCGAGATGGTTCGCCGCGGCAATCAGCTTCAAGGCAACCTACTCTGCGCCCCCAATCTTTTACGAACTAGGGGTTCACCATGTTAAGGGCTCGCCATCACCATGTTAGGGGCTCACAAAGTTAGGGCTCACCATCTTGAGGGCTCACCGATTAAGGGGTAGATTTCATCGAGTGCTTTCCGGCTGTTCCCACTATAGTCTATAGATCGGAAAACGACCTCGGGCTTCATCAGCATGGGAGGAAGTGGGACTGCGGTTCACTATCGTCCCACCATACGGTCCGGGGAACCACTATCTTCACCGTCAAAGCGATCTCGGGGAACGACGGCGCGGGGGTCGAAACGAGCGGGTTTCTGTTACGCCTTCCAACTCTTCGTCCGGATGCCACAAAGGGGAACTGCAAACTACGTCCACGAGAGGAACCCACGGTCCGTGCGATCGGAGGACCATTCGAAGCGGGCATCGCCAGCCAGTTTCGAAGCGGACATCGCCAGCCAGTTTCGAAGCGGGCAACAGCCAGGGCGAAGGGGCAAGCGGCAGCCACGGAACTGGGAAATAGGAATGCGGACGTCCTGACGGGAAGGTTGGACCACTATCGATGAACAGAGACGAAGTCCGGACCGTACTCTACATAAAGCCCAATCCATTTCTCCGTCGAGTGGCTCTATGGCCGCATTCGTGGATATATCTCGGCAACCACGTGTCGGTTGGGGCCGAACAACGGCATATTCGACAGCTGGGGGCCGTGTGAACCTCACGTTTGAGGTTTCGTGCCCATCAGAGGTGGGTTTCAAACGTTTCGGGCGGTATATGACACCTGCTGTGGCCGCATTCTTGGGGCATATCTCGGGAACCACATGTCGGTCGGGAACGAAAGGCGGCTTCCGTAGCAGCCGGGGCCCGTGCGAACACAAAGAAGTTGGGTTTTGGGTCCATTGGAGATGGTTCCGAATAGCATAAAGCGGTGTCGTGCGCAAGGTTAGAACATCTACAGCACGCCACCGCCGAGGGAGGTGGTGCCGTGACATCGTTTCGGGTCATATCTCGGCAATCATCGGTCCCTTTTTGGGAAGAACAAGGGCTTTTGCAGTGCCTGAGGCCCATGGAAAGTTATTCGACTAGTGACGTCAACAAAATTAACACACTGGTGTCGAAAATGGCAGGTGTCGTAAATAGCATTACCGATACTTGGATGCATCAAGCCATCCGCGAAGAATTCATCCCCCTGTCAGTCGCTCATGTCAATGCTCGGCAAGAACCATAGTCTATTGTAGCATAGGTGGCAAGGCTTCCGCGAGAAGAGATCCTTACTTTTTTGACTCCGTGCATTCCGAGTAACTCCGTTCCATGTGGTACCCCGTCCTCCTCCTCCTCCTCCTCCTCCCCCCCCCCCCCCCCCCCCCCCC